TTTTTTTTTTTTTTTTTAAAGTGCCTCATCCTCGTCCCTCTTCCCCAGCAGAGTTCATGAATTTGATGTGAGAAGACTCAGAATGGGGGCAAATCCATAATCAATTTCTCAACACTCACGTCAGTCCTCAGCTTGCTGCATAAGGTTTTAACATGGATTGCTCTTGTGGCTGAGAAAGGGTGGATGATGAATGGATCAGGTTAAGAATGTGGACTTCTTCCTTTGGCATTTCCACCCCCTTCCCTGTCCCGCCCCACCCACCCACCCAATTGCATGTTCTCAAGTTGGAGACATAGAAGACAGTACAGTGTCATAGGTAGGATGAAGGATTCTGGATTCAGACTCAATGCCCTCACTTGTAAAACTGAAATAAGAGTAGTACCTATTTCAAAGGACAGTGTCTGGCATATAAAGGGCACTCAGTGTGTTAGCTGCTATTTTCGTGTTATTGTTGTTAAAATTCTGCAGGTAGAAATGAGAATTGTAAGGCGGGAGGAAGCCTGTCCTATTTCCCAGGCGTTAGAGTAGGTAGATGGGTTCTAAGTTGTTTAGCGGTTCCCTGTGCAAGAAGCTTTCACATCTAGCCATACTGGGGTCTGCAGCAGCAAGGCCTTGGGATATCCACTCACAACAAGTTTCTGGAGTTATTCATGTTCACTCTGATGCAGCATCGCAGTGGCACTCGCCTCTTCCCCTTGTCACCTACAAGCCTGGATGAAGGGAAACATGTCAGCAGAGGCAGTCTTGGCCCGTGGGAAATTCCACCATGGCATGACTATGTGAGTGTAACCGAAGCTACTATATAAGGATTTCTGGCAACAGGCTCATTAGAAATAGTCCCATGCCGGGGCGCCTGGGTGGCTCAGTCGGTTGGGCGTCCGACTTCGGCTCAGGCCATGATCTCACGGTCCGTGAGTTCGAGCCCCGAGTCGGGCTCTGTGCTGACAGCTCAGAGCCTGGAGCCTGTTTCGAATTCTGTGTCTCCCTCTCTCTCTGACCCTCCCCCGTTCATGCTCTGTCTCTCTCAGTCTCAAAAATAAATAAATGTTAAAAAAAAAAAAAAGAAATAGTCCCATGCCTACTGCAATGCCAAAATAGAAATAGCAAGCCTATATAACACTTTAGTATATGCCAGCCACTGTTCTAGGTGCTTTACCTCTATGTACTCGTTTGCCCTTATGGCACTTATGAAGCCATTTTACAGATGAGCAGACTGAGGCATAGAAAGGCTGAGAGTCACACAACTCATAAGTAGCAGAGCTGGGATTTAAACCCAAGAAGTCTGGCTCCTTTCTGGAGAGCACTTTGGCAACATGAATCGAAAGGAGGTTATACTTCCTTCCAGCATTAGTTGCTTGTCTTCTGCCACATTTTCTCTGAAAGGGTAAGGGGAAACACATCAGTTTTCAAGCCGGACAGATCTGAACTCAAATCTGGACTCAATTCTTTATCAGCTGTATCATCTTTATCAAGTGACTTGAAAGCTCTGACCCTTAATTTTCTTTATCTGTAAAATGGGAACAATCGTCAGTGTCTCAGAGAGTTGCTGTGAGAATTAAATGCAGCCACGTATGAGAAAGACTGGTACCTAGTTTTACAGTGTTCTCAGTTTCACTAGGCTTGGCCTAAATGGACATTTCCTTTCCATGCCTCTTTCGTGATTCAAGTTATTTATTAGGCTCATAACTATTCTTGACTACATGTTAAATACCCTACTCTGAGAGGTCGGAGATTGCTCTAATCTATAATTCTCTTTTCTTTCCTCTGTGTTTATCACCCTGACTCTTTTTCTTCTCTCATTCTATTGTTTTTTTCTCTTTCTCTTTTCTGCTCTTCTTTTCCTATAGGAATGATCTTTCTTTTGGTCTTTTTTCCCTCTAAATTGATTGTGAATTGAGAGGGAATTGACAATGGCTTATGTGCTAAATTTACAAGAACAATGTAGTCATGAAGACGATAAGACACATTAATGTCCAGTGTTGACAAAAATGGGAAATATGGGCACTCTCTACATTGCTGGTGGCTTATAAATTGATAAAACTTTTTGGCAATATGAATCAAAAGATGTAAGTGTATATATATACCCTTTGAACCAGAAAGTCTTATTCTGGGAAATTGTTCCAGGAAATAATCATGATCCATAGGATGTTTGTATCAACTAGCTTTTGCTGCCTAACAACCCTCTCCAAAGTTTGTGGATCAAAATAGCAAACATGTATTATTTCTTATATTCTTGCAGGTTGACTGGATGGTTGTTCAGTTCCGGTTCAGCTCAGTAAGAGCTGGATGGCCTAGCTGAATGGCCTCACTGACATGTTTGGGCCTCAGTCGGGATGACTGGGCCCTGTCTCTGTATGGTGTCTCCTTCTCCAGGAGGAAAACCCAGGCTCGTTCATATGGTGGTGTCAGGATTCCCAGCAACAAAAAATGGGGCAAGCCTCAGTATATAAACAGTTTTCAAGCCTCTGCTTATCCCACATTTGCTAATGTCCCTAACGGCAAAGCAAGTCAGATGGTCAAGCCCAGATTTAGGAAGAGAGAAACAGAATTTACTATTTGATTGGAGGAGCTACAAAATATTGGAACCATTTTTTTCCTACAACGTTTGTTCATCACAGGACTGTCTGTAATAACAACAAAAACAAACAAGAAGAGTAGAGGACAAAAAAAAATTAAAGGTCTTCTCAAATAAATCAAACATCCATACAATGGGATAACAATGCAACATTTACAAATGACTGAAAGGAAGAGTTAATGCTGTAGGGAAATGTTCTCCATATAGAATTAAGTGGGGGAGTAAAAGGGTTGCAAAATCTTATTTTTGTGAAGCAAAAAAGTATAAAGCACAGATTTTATTTATTTATTTTGTTTATTTATTTTGGGAGAGAAAGAGAGAGAGAGCGTGTGCTCAAGCAGGAGTGGCGAAGGGCAGAGAAAAAAATCCCAAGCAGGCTCTGAGCTGTCAGCAGAGCCTGAGCAGGTCTTGATCTCACCAGCTGAACCATGAGATCCTGACCTGAGCCAAAATCAACTCAGTCGTTTAATTGACTGAGCCACCCAGGCACCCCTAAAAAGCACAGATTTTGGGGCGCCTGGGTGGCGCAGTCGGTTAAGCGTCCGGCTTCAGCCAGGTCACGATCTCGCGGTCCTGAGTTCGAGCCCCGTGTCAGGCTCTGGGCTGATGGCTCGGAGCCTGGAGCCTGTTTCCGATTCTGTGTCTCCCTCTCTCTCTGCCCCTCCCCCATTCATGCTCTGTCTCTCTCTGTCCCAAAAATAAATAAAAACGTTGAAAAAAAAATTAAAAAAAAAAGCACAGATTTTAAAAAAGAGATTGGAAGGACAGCAACAAAATGGTAATATATCTAATGATGAGATTACTTTTAACGTCTTCCTTATGCTTTTCTGTATACAGTTAACAATTCTACTGTCCTGCTCTTACCTAAGCACTTCACATATGTTAATTTAATCTTCACAATGACCCAATAAGATAGAGTCTAGCAGTATCATTGTCCCTATTTTACAGATGAGGAACCTAAGACACAGGAAAGCTTACTAACATACCCAAGGTCACACATCAGGTAGAAGGCAGATCCTTGATTTCATTCTAAACTCCGTGCTCTTTTAACTATTATTCTTTCTTCTAAGTCAAGTGATTTGTCTGGAACCAGAGTGTGGTGTTTGGTAAATGGACTATATCATTGGTTTTAAACCTTTAAAAAAAAAATCATCAAACACTTTTTCTTGCAAAAGTAATATACTCCAGAAGTAGAATAAAAAGATGAAATTCCATCTGCCAGGATCCCAGTAACATCCTCAGAGAAAACCATTATTAGTAGTTTAGTATGTATCCTTCCATATCTTTCTTCTA